TAAGATAAGTAACATTCTTTTCAATCTTAAAATAAATTTTAATATTTAAAAAAATCTTACATTTTAAGTTGAATAAGAAATATATATATATATATATAAGATTATATTCAACTTGAATAATTATATTTTTATATTTTAAGAAAACTCAAAAAATTAATTATATTATTTTATATATATAAAATAATTTTATAAATAAATGTAATTTTAACATGTATAAAAATTAGAGTAAACCCTACGAATACACATGTATCCGTTCTAGTAAATAAAGGTGGAAAGAAGGATGAGGAATATGTATGAGTTATTGGGACCAACTAAAGTCATGGTACGTAGGGTGGGGTCCCCATGTTAGGCCTCGTTTGTATTGGGTTCGAGATTGACACATCTCCATCTCCCCCAACATAACTACGTCTCGTAGGCCTCATCTCCTACTTTCCTCTGTCGTCCAACACATCGTATAATGAATTTCACGATCATAAATAATTATGACCAATAATACGATTTGCAATTGTTTTCAGTATTTCTCAAAAACTTCCACTCCACGCAATGGGCTCATGTACCACAAAGATTCACCCTTAATTGCCTTAATATATTGCAATCATGCCAGTCACTCCTTTCAATTTTACACCCTTCTTTTCTTAAGGAAAAGATGGAGAGAGAGGAGCGTATTCAACCTCCTTTGTATTGAGTGATTTTGAATGTATTTAAATAAAAATTAAAAATTAAAAAAATCAAGTCTTACTTTTAAATAGTATTTTTGCGAGTTTAACTTGATTTACGAGGGTGTATTAGTTAAGGATTTTATAGGATTTTAAAAAAAAAATTTTGAGTAAAAAAGTCTATTGATATTCAATCAGGATTTTAAGTCACTTAAAAACAATAGTATTCAATCTGAATTTTCAAGATTTTTTAAAGAGTCCATTAAAATCTATTGGTATTCATTTGAGATTTTTTACAACTTAAAAATAATTAATTGGTATTCACAAATATAAGGATTTTAAAGGATTGTTGTGTTAGAAATATTTTGAAAGACTTTCTAATATTATCTATAAATACCAAATCCATAAAATAATCACATCTAAACCTATCGAATTTTGGAGGATTGTTTGAAGTGACTTTTCAAGTGCTTCAAGAATTTCTAAATGAGTTTTTCATCTTTCTTTTTTATGCTCCCGTCTTCTCCATTTTTTTTCTCCTAATAATATTGCAATATTGTTCATTGCTCATATATAATATTGTAGTACTATTCTCATTCTATTCCCCTATTTTGTGAAACTCCGATATATAAATGATAGTATCATTGACTTGCTCTATTTTTCTCTTTGTTCTCTTTAATTAACTTGCTCTATTTTATTCTATTTAGTTGAATTTGTTCCTTTATATAACACAAAAAAAAAATACTTGAAATTTTAACTTTTAAGTGGTATTTTTTTTATAACACATGTCAAGAAAAGAGAAAGGTAAAAGATGAAATTGATATCATGATCTCTACAATACATATATATATATATATAGCTGGAGGAAAAACCCTCTCAGCATAAAAACTGCGATCTCTCTCATTCCCTTGAGTTTGTTACTCTTATTCCTCATCATTTTATAACTTAACAATTATGTTATTTTTTTTACTATGAATTTTTTTAATTTTTATATTATGAAATTATGATTTTTTTTTATATTTAAAGAAAGAAGAAATTAACATAAGACATTGCAGTATCTAATTTTCTAGGGTTTAGGGTTTATGCCTCCATTAACTTATTTTAAAAAAGAAAATATTGTTAAAATATTTGTTAGAATAATTCACATTTATAAATATTGTTAAAAAATTATCATATAATATATAACTAAAATACTAATATATATATATATATATATATATATAAATATTTTTTCTGTATCTAAATACTTCCGTTTATATAAAAAAAATTTATTTATCTAAATATTTTCTCAGTATCACATATACTGATTTTTTTATATAAAAAATTATCTTATATTTATATATTTCCATTTTTACATGATTTTTATATTGGCCAAGGTATTTGATCCTTCATCTTCAACATTACGGTTAATGAAGATTATACTTTTGAGCTTATTATTCAAACTCATGAGCAAGAGCGAGAAAACGTTAATGCTTAGAAGACTAGTATAACTATGGATATGTGGATAAACGTTATTTAAGAGGATATGATATTATAGAGAATTAGTATTATTATTATGTATCTAGACATTTTTTTTTATTATTTTTGTCTTTGACTCTTTAAATTTCAATGTATGAATTTTTTTTTGAAATCTTATCATATGTCAAAAATCTACGAAAATTCTACAAAATCCACAAAGTCCCGTAAAATCCATTAGAATCCTGATTTAAAATTCTTGCATAATCCATTAAAATCTTGATTTAAGGTCTTGCAAAATCTTACAAAGTCTTAAAAGTCATGAAAATCCTATAAAGTCTTTTAAAATCCTTAGCATTTTTTTTAAACTAAAAAAATTCTTTAAAATCTTAATCCAATACACCCCCCTTAGTTACAGAGATAAAAGAGGATAAATTAAAAAATAATAGTTAAGGAAATTAAATATATAAATAAAAATAAAAGAAGGATAATCTAAATTAGTTAAAACATTTTTGGTTAGTTGTGGAAATCAATAATAATATATTAAATGCACCTTCAAAGAAGATAAAAGAGAATATTGAGTGAAAAATAAAA